TGGCATGCCTCCACATCTCCTTGAATAATTTCCGTGAACTGACATTATTCCATGTTTCCTTGAATAATTATACTTGATTAGGGTTTTCTCAGAGTAAATGGAGGGAGGCAGATTCCAGAGCTCTGAGACTCCCTGACAGCTCAGACCCAAAGAAACGGGACATCCACCACGTCCCCAGCCAGATGGGCTTGATGTCATGAAGGCATCACAGTTGTGGCTTCATCTGCTACCCTGAGATGAGGAATGGAAGGCTCTTGAGATGTTCCTTATATACAATCCTCAATACCCTTGACCTTCAGCTGTGCTGGCTGGGGCTGATGGGAACTGTAGTTCAGGCAGATCTGAGGAGCTGCAGGCCCACTGAGGGCTATCCTTAATTGTGTTTTAAGTTTGGAAAGAAGGAAGGGGATGGGAAATATCCAGCAAAGAAACAGAGATTCCTGTGCGGAACACACCCAATGCCCGGAAGGACGGCTCCTACACTTTCAGCCCAAGGGCCACATTCCGTTTTGGAGGCTCTTAGGAGATACATTCTAGCGATGGGAAGGGCTGAGGGTAAAAAAATACCCCCCCACAAAAAAAATAAACATAATGGCATTGCAACCTGGGAGAAAACAGCACAAAAGCCTGGAAGCCAGCCAAGAAAGGGAGCAGGATGAGCTCCCGCAGAAGTTTTTGACTGCATCTCCCAGGGTTCTTGAGCATTGGCCATGCCAGCTGGGGCTGATAGGAGTTGAAGTCCAAAATTTCTGGAGAGTCCCGGGTTGGAGAAGGCTGCACTCTGACCCCTTCAGTGTGGCTTTATTTGCATAGATGGAGGGAGGCATGCCTTGTTCATCTGTAAACAGGGATGGGAAACCTGCTTCCCCTTCAACATTGGTGGACTACAAATCCCATTGACCCCAAAGGGCACAGCCAGTGACGAGGGGTGTTGCAAAAGGGCCACAGGATGTGAGACTCAGGGCACCCCAGAAATCATCATCATCATCATCCCCCCATTGTTGTTGTTACTCATTTCTATACGGTCCCAAAGCCAAATCTCTCTGGCAGGTTTACAGCTGAACAATACAACCCAAATAACATAGATCAACCATGTTAATAGAATTTAAAATAGCTTAAAATATAACAAAAAAATTAAAAGGCCCAGCAAGGAGCCATAGAATCAAGATGACCCCCTCAGGCCCCTGGATGACCAAGGAGATCTTTGAAGACCTCCACAAAGAGGGAGGTCTTGACCTGGTGCTGAAAAAACAGCGAGCTTGGCACCAGGCAAGACACAGCAGGGAGGCTGTCCAAAGATGGGGGCCACCACAGAGAAGGCCCTCCCCTAGCTACCACCTCCAGGACCTCTCGTGGGGTTGGCACTCCGAGGAAGGCCGCAGAGGTGGAGCACCCGTCATTTTGCCCGGTTCCACGTCTCCAGGGATAGCGCATGACTTTATCAGTGGGAGGGAGGGAGGGAGGGAGGGAGGGAGAGAAAGAGAGGGAGACCCGTTCATTCGGCCGCCATGTGCAATGGGGGGTGCACACTTTCTGCAGTTGTGCAGAGACATGAGCAAGCCTGAAGGCCATTTTCTGCACAGTTCTTAAAAGTGCACAGGGTCAGTCCTCTTTTGCATCAGGGCTGCCCAGATTAGCTCCTTCCCCCTTTACATCACATGTTCCCCAGCACAAGTCCTGATCCTGAAAAACAAAGCCGTTCTGGGGATCAGTCCAGGTGGGGAATGGCTGGGATTAAGCTCTTCCTGTTGGAGGGTCCTTTGTATTTTTTTCTTGGGGGAAAGCGGGGTAGCCTTCTGCCAGGCATCAAGATTAATCTGAGCGCTAACCTGCACCGGGCTCCACTTCGTTCGAGGATGCTCAATCATTCAGCACGTTGTACAGGCCCTGCTTACAAGGCCCGGCTGTCTCCCTTTTCAGTTCACATCTCCCCGCACGTGCCTGAGACAAGCGTCACTTCGCGAGCACGGCTGCACCGGAGCCAACTGTTGACAGGGCGCGACGGCCACCAGTGCGCATCCGACGCACCCTTCCCTCGCGGTGAGTCCAACGTGGTGCACGAGCAGACCCCCTCCTGGCCCACATCGCCTGGCTCGGCGTCGTTTCAGCCGTCGGCCTCGGCAAGGCCTCCTTGCTAATCAGGCACAGGGCCGGGTTCCAAAAAGAACGGGGACTTGGCCCAAGGGAAAAAGGTACGTGTCTGCACCCACACATGCCTGTATGCTTCTTTGAACATCTGAGACCCCCTCCTTTCCTAGAAAGCAGACCTATTTGTAAACATGGATATATGGGCAGGGGAGAAGAGGGCGTTTGGTTTCAGAAAAAAGAAAAAAAAAAAGACTACGGGAAGAAAGGTTCATGAAGCAGCAGGTATATCCTGCAGCCCTTATAAAATGTCTAGCAGGTAAACCCATTGATCTATCATCATCTGCATTGCATTTGTATCTCACCTTTCTTCCTCTTCTGAGGAACCCCAAGGCAGCTTGCACAGCCCCATTTTATCTGCACAGCAACGACCCCCCTGTGAGGTAGGCTAGTCTGAGTGTGACTGACTGGCCCAAAGGCAACCAGTGAGCTTCACGGCCAAGTGGACAAAAGAATATCTTAATAAACGACTGTGGACAATGAGAATGCAGAAAAAGCCTGAGTGTGAGGGACAGAGGGAGAAGTATAGGACTGGGGGTCCATGGGAACATCAGGAGAACATCCGAAAGTTCCTTCTTTATAAGGAAAATTAACACAGAAAATAACAATTCTGCATGTTCTGTCTATATTGTAGGCTTTCTATTCCATAAATCTTAGAATGCACATAATGTCAGTTTTCAACAGAATGCGTTCTATTCTGCTTCTCTGCAACAAGCCAAGGAAATCGGGCCAGCCTGCCATCGGGCCAGCCCTCCTTCCTTGGCTTTCCAACTGAACAGAGACGTCAAATGTGATTCTGCAAGTAAAGTGATGCTTCTTTTCATATCTTTCTAGTATTTCCTTAACTCTCTTTGCGTGTATAGATTTCGACAGTTTCAAAACAACTCCACTGAAACCTCTGTTTTGGTCTGCTGGAAATCCATTTCTCAAGGCTGGGTAGGGGAATGTTTTTCTTACAGGGACCCCTGTGGCTAATGATGCAGGGTAAAAATGCAATAAATATAAATAAATTATCATTGGCCAGGTGGAACCACGGCCAAGCGTGAGAGGCATTTGAAGCGCTGCAATGATTGTTCTTTCCCTGTTCCACTTCCTTCCTTCCCTACCTGTCCATCTCTCATGAAGCAGAAGATCAAGCTTGGCAGCTGGATACCTAGCAGGGGACCTTCTCCCATACCAGTCTGCCTGGTCACAGAGGATATGGCCCTAGTGGTTCTACACAGACCTGTGACCCACCTGGAGTCCACCTGGAGCAGAACCTTCAGTGTGGAGCAGAACCTTCTCTTCATGAAATCCCCTGCCACTAAAGGTGAGGTTGATGTCTCCTAAAAACATTTATTTCAGGAGGGTGTACCTTGGTTGACCACCCTTTATTTTTAAAGGCCGTTGGCTTTTAAAATCTTTTTATTCTATTTTAAATTGTTGTATATCTTTTTGCAGAGGGGCAGTTTGAAGAACAAGAAGGCGTCCACAGGATCTGGAAAGCCAAATAAAACTAAGCAGGGGAGTAGCAAGGGACGGCTCTTTGCATCCATTCCAGAGCTCTGAGCATCCACTGGTACTGATGGAAGGCCATTTTTTCTCAGCTGAATTGCCACACGGGGGAAATCTTCAAGGGTAGGTACAGCTGCAAAGCCCACCCCCCCCCCCAGCTTCATTTGCACAGCAATTAAGCTTAGTGGGAATATCGTTTCATTAATGTGAGAGGATCTGACTGGCATTTGATGATACATTACATCATTTTAATTTGAAGGAGAAATCAATTTGCTGGCTTTGCCTCCTGTGGAATTTAAATAAATGCTAGTCATGACTTCTAAAGTTGCACACATAGCTATAAATAAGCATGCATGGATTTTATGCAAATCTGTGTCCTATGGGCCAGGGAATCCCTGATAGGCTGAGAGATCCATCCAGCTCAGAGAGCACAAGTTCCCCAGCCCAAATCTAATGTAGCACCAACTGAAAACCAACCACCCTATTTTGTAGGTCCATGGTCCCAAATTTCTGAAAAAGCACCTGCTGTTGAAGTGTGGCGTGGTGGGAAGTCATAGAAACAAAGCAAGTCAGAAGGGGGCTTCTGGGCCATCTAGTCTGACCCCCAGCTCCAGCCAGCTCCACTCATGTAATCCCCAACATGTGGTCATCCCATCTTTTCCCTGAACACCCTCCCTGATGGGGCCTCCACCACCTCCCTTGGAAGCTCATTCCATATCCTAGGGGTCCTAACCATCGGGAAGTACTTCCTGATATCCAACCTGAAGCCTGGTTCCTTGAGCTCTGCCCCATTGGAACACGTCCTGCCCCACAGCAGGGAAGAACAGCCCATGGTCCTTCTCCACATGACATCCCCTCTCATACCGATAAGTTGCTAGATGATCCCCTCGTAGTCTCCTCCCTCAAGGCTGAAAAGACCCAGTTCCCCGCATCTCTCCTCATATGGCATCCCTCCCAACCCGGCTACCATTCCTGTGACCCTGCGCTGAACCGATTCTAACCTGGTTATGTCTCTCCTATAATATGGATCCCAGAAGTGGACACAGCACTCCAGTTGTGGGTGCACCAGAGTCATGCAGAGTCCTTATCCCGAGTTGAAATGTAGTTGCAGTTACGTGGCCGAGAACACCGGTATGCTGTACGTGCCCAGAAGGAAACCTTCACGTGGAACAGATCCAATGTATGGATATGATGTTATGGGCTTTGTTTTAAACTATGGATGCACTCCCAAACCTGGACTAGCGGCCAAGTGTATCCGTCTTGCAGTGGGAGCCCCGTTGGAAAGGCAAGTGTTTCCTTGAAGAGAGGTCCAAGGTCAGTCTGCACCCGCCAAGATGCAATTGAATCCGCCAGGTACTTACATGGCCAAATGGATCGAGATGATTGTTCGTCAGCTTGAGCTTTTGGAAGGAAACCAGCTGCCGCATCCAGTGCGCCCCAGTAGCTGGCGAGTCAGGGTGGACGTATAATCTCCCCGGCATGGCAGGTTCCGCTTTTCCTGTCACTGACCTAACCAAAAGCAACATGATGCATACTTTTTAATTTTCCTCCGCAGCCGGTTAACCCTCCCTAATCGCCTATTTCAAGTCAAAAATGGCCCGGCCAATCAGTGGCACATGGCTGGGCAAGAGAACAGAAGCACGGTCCCAGCAACTCTCCCTCCCAGTTCGATTCTTGTCCTTCACAACCCTGATCCATCTCGAAGCTGATCCGTCTCTGAACGCCCAGAAAATTATTCTGAATTAGCGGTGGTTTCCTTTCTTCCATACTCACAATCACTGCCATCCATAATTCAACGACAACCCCCACGCAACCCATACTCAGTCTCTGAGTGGGTCATCCTATTATCTGGACTCAGACAGAATCGGATTTTTTAAAAATGAATGAGAACGTCGTTCCACTCATGCAATGTGCGCTTGCACTGATACGCTTTTGAGCAAGTGCAAATTTGCACAAACTTTCCACCAAAGGTTTTTTTGTTTTGTGTAAGTTTTCAGGACTGCAGAATCCATGTGATTTGGAAAAAGCTGGTCTGTGGCAGCGGAATGCTCAGGTCAGGCACAGAAACCCGCACGCCTCTGAATCGGCTGTGGGCTTCTCCAAGAGCCCTCATTTAAGCCTCCAAAGAGCAGCCAACCTAACTCCTGCGGACCCTAGAGAGGGAGCTGAATTTGGAATTGGCAGGTCATTTTCCAAAGACCAAAAACATGGAAAATGATTTACCAAGACCAGCAAGGAAGAGCGATCCTTGGTAAATATCCAGCCAGTTGGGGCATATGCCAAACCATTCCAGCTATTTGATGATGCCACACAGTAACTTCAGGGATGCTTCCAGACTACCATCCTGCTACGCCACCAGACATTCCAGGGGATCCACAGGGCAGCTTATGTGCAGCTCTCCATGCCCTCCTGCCAGGGAGCTCCTCATGGCTTTTGGCCTGCGGAGCAAGGAAGCCTCTCTCCGGAGCACCCTGAGCTGCGTTTCCTAGCCGCCTCCAGCTGCCTGTGCTCAATTGTGAAACTTCGACGTATATATTGGAGAGAAACACACCATTTCCTAGATGAAGAGAAAGAGCCTCTCATGCCACGTTGGAGATGAATTGCCTTCTTTGGCTTGGCTCTGGGTGCATCTGTATTTCAACTTTTTTTAACCCTTTAAGCACATATGCTTTGACAGCTCCTGCTCCCCCAGCAAAATTAGACTGGGCAGTATTTATTATCCAATCAGGGTACCAGAGCAATTTAGCTGGTAATTAACACAAACCCCTATGCACAAAGAGCTCCAATGTGTCCGACAGGGGTCTACGAGCAGGCAAATATATTTAGAAATGCTGCATGAAGGTACAATCCTATCCACATTTCGACAGAAAAAGGATCTACAACTCCCAGAATGACTAGCCAGCTTCATTTTTTTAAGAGAACAGGTTATTTAGTTGAAAGTAGGCAGGCAGTTACTAACACCCCCATCTGTTTCCGCACACACATTCAAACACTTCTGAAACCCTTTCAAGTGGTTAGCAGGATAGTACCCCTGTTTGCACTTATCCTGATCTGTCCCTCCACACTCCCATTTCATACCATTTGTTATCTGCAAATTTGTATCTGTGATCATCGGACGGGACAATATCCATCAACAGAATGTACTTTGTTTTGGGGTTGAGTCCTGTGACTTTCACTTTGTAGCTGGGAAACATTCGCCTGGAAAGGACAGAAAAGATATAAATATCAGCAGAGGTCCCCGATTATCATTAAGCAGGTGGTTCTGGAGGAAATTAAATTTACTGTCTATTTTCTAGTATACAGGCACATTGTGGACCAGCATGTAAAAACGTCTTTGTTCTGAGCTTATTTACCCTGTGCAAGGTGAGGATCTGTCTACAACTTCTCCAACATGCATCTTGTGAATCATACCCAGAATGAGTAGTGCCTCAATGCAAAACATTTACTCCAAAATACAGTGCATTGACCATTGTAGGGCTTAGTTCTGAGTAACTGTGGTTAAGATTGAGGTTGCTTTTTTCACAGTTTTAGAAAAAAAAGTGTCCAACATCTGTCTTTTTCAAAGAGTTTCCCAACCACACCTGTGGGCAGTCTCGGACTCTCTCCAGCCAAAATGGAGCACTGTTGGATCCGTTTTCCTAAACTATTTAAACAGCCCAAAGCTTAACTAGGTGGAAAAGCAAAATGCTAGCAATTTGACATAGCAGAAGTCTATCTTGTGGGTAACATGTCCGTTTGCCATCATATTTGTCCGGAGTAGCTGATGCATTACAGAAACGCTTGGAAGACAAGCGAAAGATTGGTCTGTCTGTGTGTATATTGCAAAACTTGAAGAAAGCTGCAATGTCCTGCTAGGGATTTACCTTTTGTTCTATCCTGCTTCTGCAATCTCTCCTTCCTCTGCTTTTATATGTTGGGATACAATCCTATGCAGGCTTGGAGAGAGAGAGAAAAAAATCCTACAAATAATACAAATTCCTTCAAGGAATGCTAGGAGCTGTAGATTTTTTTGGTCTAAATATGCATAGGATTGTGACTTAAGTTAATTTGGGCAATGTTAGGAATGGGCCAAAGGGGCAGCAATGCCAAACCTGTTACTACAGGTCCAAACTGACTCCCACACACCTAAAGGTCCCCCACACCATTAATTCCAGGAATAGGCCAATGCTCAAGTGGGATTACAGCCCCATCCTCCCACAGGCTCCAATACTCTCTACTTGGGGGGAGGGGGGATGAAATGAAACAGGGTAAGAACAAAAAATATATGTGCTAATTTGCATATCCTCCCAAGACTCTGTGCAAGGCTTTCAAGGGTCCTGTTCTTTTGCTGTAGTTCGGGGGTTGGGAATTTTGAAATTCACAATTTAAATTGGGGGGGGGGGTTGATCCCTCAAAACAACCCCTGCCTTCAGCACAACAGTTCAGCTGAGAAAAACACCTTCCACTGATAGACAATGGAAATACTGAGCTCAGAATCTTTTACTCATGTTTAGATTGTCCAGAGATGTTTAGATTGCCCAGGAACCAAATTTCTCTGGACAGCATGCAAGTACATCAAAACATTCAGTTTTCACAGAACTCCTTCTGCAGAGGAGAAACTCAGCTCACTTTAGACTGAATAATTCAACTCGTGTAATCTCCTGTTTTTGAGCAGCTTTCAGGCTTGTGGGTTTGGATTTGCTTTTCTGTTTTGGTCGAGCCCAGAGGCCCACCCATGAGGGTGAGCGGCAAAATGATAACTTGGGTGGCAGAAATCTGATGGAATCAATTAATTCAAGGGGTGAAGCCAGCTTATTCCCCCCCCCCCACCATACACTGGGATAACATGCAAATAGGAGCACTGAATTAATACAGAACTCTGAGCTTTGCTCTTACTATGCCATTCAGAGATCAATCCTATAGCTCAAACTTCCTGCTAGCAATTGCTTTTTTTTAAAATCCATCATAAAACTCTGGCTGGTTTGGCTCAGCCTGTCGCCCATGCCGTTGGCAACCCAAAATAAATCTTGTTGGCTTTGGTGGGTCATGCATGAGAAGACACGAGAGAGATGCTGATGAGTTTATCTGTCTAAAATAGCTTTATTCCATCTCTTTGCCCAATACAGACAGCAAGCAGGCGATTAAGAAGGCGAGGGGAGGGACACGAACAAAACACATCTCCAGTATCGAACAAAGCACATGTCCAGGATCTCAGCCATGTCTGCAGGATCGATTGGGTGTGGTTTGCTCCTCTCTTTCACTCTGTTTTGCATGCAGCGGGACTTAATCACAACAATACCCCATGCATGTTATGCCAAGTGGCAGGGTGCCATGCTGAAAAGCAAGTTAAAAATCTTTTAAATAAACATGACATTATCCCTTCCAAGATTATCTCAGGTTTAAAGAGAAGGCCATGGCCAAGCAGAGCTGCCAAATAAAGCTAAGCCATTTAATATCCATCATGCAGGCTACAGTTGGTTTTGTTAATGATTATTATATTTTTATCATCATAATAACAATAAGAACAACATTGTAATAACAATCAAAGAAAAGAAAGAAAAGAGAATAGGAATAAAAGAGAAGAAAACAAAGAAAGCGAAGGGACACTAGGTTGACCGCCTTTGAAGGTAGCCTCTCATTAACTTGTCCGTCACCCTCCCTTTCGGAGGTCTATATGAACAGCCTTTAGTGGAAGGGATTATTCCAATCAGGATTTTAAAAGTGCACCGATGGCCCAGGGGGAATATGGCCTGCTGCCTGGAGTTTCTGAAGGCCCATTGACTAGTCTGGTAGCTGGATTTATTTATTTATTTATTCATTCCTGCCTCTCCTCTTATGGGAGAAAAACAAGGAGAGCATTTAGATGCCTTGGGATGGGTTTCCACAACCCAGAACCCTCCTGATGCAGCTGCTAGAACGATATTCTGCTGCTTTTTCTGTTTGGATGGTGGTCCTGCTCACAACAACCCTGCGAGGCAGGTTAGGCCCAAAATAAGCTTCGTGGCTGAGCAGGGACTTTACCTATTTAATTGGGATCCCACTTTCTTCTCCTGGACTCAGAGTGGCTTGCATCCTTCTCCTGCTGCTGCTCTCTAGCTTAGCCCCACAACAACAACCCTGCGAGGCAGGTTGGGCTGAGTCACCCCGTGCCCCCGTGGCTGAGCGGGACGAGCACCCAGATCCCCCCCGTCCCGGCCCTGGGCCCTCACCACGGCACACCTGCGCTTGGCCACGGCTCCGAGCCGCTTCAGCTAGCGTGGGTGACGGCCAGGATCGCTGGGAGCTGTCGGCACCATGTTGGGGAATGCTGCTTCAGCTGCACCACTTACCGTTCTATAAATATATGTGCTTAATATAAATAGATTCCATGGCTCGGCGTCTGAGCGCATGCCTCGCCACAGAAAGGCTCGGTTCAGTCCCAGGTAGGGCCAGGGAAGGCTCCTCTTTGGAACACGGCGGAATCACGGCCGCTGGGTGTGGGCCAGCAGCAGACTAGCCGATGCCTAGTGGTTTGGGGCTGCAAGGAGCTGCAAGGAGCCCCCACCCCAGTCCCCACTCAGCCGTGGATCCCACTGGGTGTCTCTGGCACTTAGCCTACCTCACAGGGCTGTTGCTGGGAGGATAAAATAGGAGAACTTTGTAAGCCCCCCCCCCCGGTTCCTTGCAAGAGGAAGAAAAGTGAGGAATAAAAATTATTATTATTATTATTATTCCAACAATCCCTGTCCCTTGGTCATACTCGCTGGGGTAGATGGGAATTGCAGTCCAGAGCATCTGAAGAGCACGAGGTTGCTTGCCCCAGTGCAGAAACCAAATGATGTCAAAGCAGCTTCCTCTGCTCCCAACGTATTCCTCCTCACCAGCAGAATAGTCTCCTCACTTCAGGCCTCCCCCAACACCCTGCTTTACCTGTTGAATCTCTTGCCTGCTGCAGCTAAGTGGCAATGCACACAACTGAAACAGCTTCAGGGCAACCTTCAATATTGAAGGTATAGATTAAGGTATAGATTAAGGGGGGACAGTCCCAGCAGCCCAAGGTCCATGCTGATCAATACCTATTATTGATGAACACAGGGCATTGAGCAACAGGGCAATGACTGGGCCAGTTCTGCACATTCAGTAACTCAATTTAAACCCGTATGATTAATTAGGTAAGGTTGCAAAACTATTAATAATCGTTGAGGAACTCCCACCATACTCAGTGAAACATATTTCTGTAGAAACATGCATCGGATTATACAGAGCTACAGAAATACTTGTCTTCTTCCCCTGAATTTGGTGGGACTCACATCAGAGTGAGTATGAACAGGATTGCTGTGCATTGTCTTTAATCGTATCAGAGCAGCATAATTATTACTATTAGCCTTGATCTAACATCTGGTTTGACCCAGACATAAGGATTACTGAACTGAGGTCTCTTGAAAGGCACAGAAGCTCCAGTTAGCCTTGTTTTGATGCTTTTATTTTTATTAGTCTTTAAGGGCCTCATCCAGAGCATATTTAGATAGAAAAAAGTCCTGCCACCCACCACCCCAGGTAGCCGAGCTGACTGAGGAATGCTGGAAATTGGTAGCACTTTTTCTTCTGCCTAAGCCTATGGAAGATGGTGCTTTTCAGGAACTACAAAACATGGTGAACTTTGCTGCAACAGACTGACAAAACTGTCCTTCTGGGATGATTGTTTATGTACATTTGATTTATACATGTACACAGAAGTAGCATGCATTTAAAATACCCTAATAAGTGTTTTCACATCACAGCTACTGATGAGGGTGGAAGCCAAAGCATTTAGCTCCAAAAATGTTTCAAGTTCGGTTGCTAGCCTACACATACAATACACAATAGGATCTGTTGTTAGTGTATCTACAATAAGAAAGTGATAGTGAGTTTATTGGGTGGGGAGAGGAGAATGTGTATAATACACACACGACATCATTTATCAATAAGGCAGGGCCAGGAAATCCTTTCCTGCAGACTAAAAGTGGAAACAGGAAAAAAAGACCACAGGAATAGATTTGTTTAAAAACGACTGGGTTTTCCACTGTATCCCGGTGTTGGCTGAGGACACACTGGGAGCCATTCGATGGGAAAAAACAGAATACCCTAAATGTGCGCAACTGCACCTTCAGAGAGCATCAGTCTTCCCCAGTTCTCCAACACAACCCACACAGAATCCCCACAACTGCTTTTGAATGGGGGACTTGGAAAGGAATTTATGGTATTGCACTGGGGAAGTTGTGGTGATGCTCAGAGAGTTTTCAGAGGTCTACAGCTCCAGTGGGGTAGAGCAGCAACAGATGCGTGCATGGCTGAATACCAGCATGAATAATACTACAAAGCATTAGTACTAGTAGTACTAGATACAGTAGTAATTATTGCTAGCATTATTTCTACTAGCAGTAAGAGCACAACTATTATTAGACATCGTAATTATGCTAGTATAGTTACTGGTAGTAATAATGGCATTACTAATAATACTAATTGTCATGTAAGGTTGCCTTCTGATATAAACAACAATTTAGGGGGAAATAAATAATAAAGAATAAATAAAGTAGAATAAATCCAGTGCCACAAATGCCATATCCTCCAGTTCAGTCCCACTCCTATTCGCTCTAAAATATCTTTCATTTCACTAAGAAGCATTTCTGAGTCAGCAGAAGGAAAGATGCCACCTTAAAGACTCAGCGCTGAAGCTGCTGTTGAAAAAAACAAGGGGCCCAATTCAGGTTCGGAGAGGGAAGCTTTTTCTGAAGGCCAGACGGGGAAATCTAACTCTCTCTGCAGTTATATTATGAACAATGCAGAGGATTCTGACAAAAGGGTTTAATTATTTGCCTTCCTTGGATCATGTTGTTTCAATCTCATTATGTTTAGATCTGCACATGCAGTGAAAAGACTCAAGACACAACACACATCTCTAAAAGTCAGTCTTTCTCTGTACATATGTATATCTATGTATACGTACACAAAATGAAACATGTCTACAGTAACTGGTGATAAGGAAAGGTGTAGGGGCAACACTGCATCTTTTATGCATAGAATTTTCCACCTAGAAGGAGTTCCCACTGTGTTAAGTGACATTTGCTAGCAAACAGTTGCACAGCCTGCTTATCTGTGAGTAACGTTGGAGTACGAATGCCAATGACTGTATTGTAATATTAATAACTTTGATAATATCGATCCCAAGCATTCAAGTGGCTCAGACCCTCTTTTAAGAAGAAAGAGAGAAAGGAGAATGCAATCCAGGTAAAGGTTGAACACTTCAAGCTCCAGCAACTTCAAAGAGAGAAAACCAAGGGGGTGGGACTTTGCTCTCCCACCAAACTAATTAGGGCTTATGGTCCAGTCCTAGGTATGCATACTCCAAGTGAATTCTGTGGAGTTCTCTTGCAACCAGGAAGCTGCCTATAGGCAGCTTGGTCCATCTAAACTGGAAGGGCAAAAATTAAGTCTCAAAGTGAACCAAAAGAAGAAAAAACTTCTTCTGATTAAAGCCAAGTACTTTCCTGAAATAGGACTGCAAGTTAGCCGTTCTGCATGCCCGGTTATTCTGCAGTCAACTTTCCTATAACCAATGGGGTTTCCTTCCAAGTGAATAGGCTAGATTCTTGCAACAACAGCCGTGTGGTATAGAAGCTATGCATTTTCTCCAGTTACTGCATGCAGCCCTCAAAAGGCATGGTCACTTGTGTCAGTGGAATTTACTCCTGGGGAAGCATTATAGGACTGGGGGGCCCCTCATGCATCCACACAGTCTTTCCAGCAGGCACCCTGATTTAACTTCTTCGAAATATCCGTAGAAAAGCACTCCCGCTCACTTCTTATGCACCTTAGGTTAATTCACACTGGGCAGAATCTAGGGGGAAGGGTCCCCCAACACTCCCCCTCCCTCAATCACTCCCATTCATTCCTATGGGTTTCACTAAGGACCCCCCCCCCGGATTGTGCTCCCCCCTTTTCAAGGGGCATAATCTAATATTTGTTTTTAATTTTTATTTTTTAAAGTACGATCCATTCATTTCTTAAATATCTGTTCCTTTTTTCTGGGCAAAAGTCCGCAAGGTGTTTTCCAAAGAATCTGGAGCAGAAAACGAAACAACAGCGCAGCACTAGACGCATCTACTCAGAAGCAAGCCCCGGGGGTTCCAAGGGACTCATTTTCAGGTGACCCAACACAAGATTGCAGGATGAAACAAACAGATGCTGAGCATCACGGCTTAGTCGTCGTCGTCATCTTAGCTACCGGCCCCACTGAATTCTATGGGGCTTATTCTCTTGCGAGCGAGATGGAAGCCTAGAAAGCACACGGCACGGATCCTTATCTACTGAAAACGGTCCTCGCCATCGCAACCCGCCTTTTAAAATGGAGATGCGTCCTTAAGCCACACAAATCTTTCTAGACCATGCTTATTCCTTGATTTGCTATGTTATGGAATCTCTCTTTTCGTTTCCCCACCAGCACGCCCATTGTAAATTCTTACCTTCCAGCTTTGGTGATAATCATTTCGGTCCCCACGTCGTGAAATTTGAGCCATAATTCTCGTTCGTGTAAAAACACTTTGATTCCTTCCATGCCCTAGAGAGGACACACAAACATGGGAAAAGACCCAAATCATCAAGTGACCAGAGAAAACCCAAACCACAGAAGAAACAAATGCTTTTCTCCAGTTCCCTCCCCACCAATACCGAAAGCAACGGCAGAAGACCAAGGGAAGACTCGCAATCCCTTTCGCACGTTCCGCGCTGTTGCTTGAGTGTACAGTCACGCGTCCTTGAGTTGACCCTCTTCCCTTTTCAAGGCCGCAATCCAATCGGCCCTGAATTTCCGAGCGCGTCGCATCGAGGTCGATGCGGCTGACCTCCCAACACACTAACGGGTGACGTGTGAACAGGAGCACAGAGCTCGAAAGGACGTGGCCCTCGCAGACCCAAGCGCCGGGCTCAGCCAGAGGCTCCCTGTGGCGCGCGCTCGCCCTGGCCTCCCCGGGCTTGCTGCTCCGTAACGTGTGAAACCGTGGCTCCAAGGGAGCCTTTCGCTTCGTTTCGTTGCTGCCCCATTTTGCTCGCGGCAGCTTCCACCAGTCCCTACACGTGTGAATGCGGCCAGTGCAGAAACCGGCGAGGAACGGGCTCGGCGGGGAGGGGCGGCGGGATTCCAGCTCGTGTTCAAAGCAGGTCCGCCGCTCCGCGCCCTCCGGAGGCCTGCGCAGCGCCAGCGGCCGTGGGAGCCGCTTGGAAGGCACTGATACGAGCGGGACTGATAGGCTGCGGGCCAAAAGCATCAGAATAGAAGGGGCTTATAATAGGATCGGCGGCGGAGAGCACTATCCCGCTTGGCGACGCGGGGCAGGGGGGGGGGAGAAGGAGAAGGAGAGGTTGACCCCAAGGATCTCCTAGCCTTGCTAGGCACTGGAAATAGTCCGGCACCAGGACGCGAATCTGCGCAGGCTAATTTATAGGCATGGCTGCAAATTAAGAAATAACACTCAGGATTTATTGAAAGCGGAGACAAAGCCAGCTCCTTAATTCCTAGTCCAGATTGTTCCAATTCGTTTCAAGCCTGACCCGAATCATTCCAACCCATTGAGAAAATTTTGTCCCCGTCCCCCCAAGCTTTACTGCCATGCAGAAGGAGATTGTAGGGAGGGGGAAGGGGTGCCGTGGGAGGGAAGGAGAAGATTAACCCTTCCCTTCCCGGCCCTGAGATACCCAGCAGTGAAAGCATTAGGCTGGCACTCCAGTTCTGGTCCGTGCTTGGCCAGGATGGGGCTCACAGGGTGGCTTGGGTCGTTGTGGCATCGACTCCCAGGCTAACCTACCTCACAGGGTTGTTGTGAGGATAAAAGGGAGGGAAAGGGATCGGGTACTCCCCCTTAGGTTTCTTGCAGGAGGAAAATAAATGCAAATAAACGAGCAGAATCCAGTCGTGTTGGTGGGCAGGGAGAGAAGAGACCCCTTCCAGGGACACCTCTCCATCGATTGGATCCCAGTGCCTGGGGAAAAGATCCAAGCCCAAGTACCCCAGGACCAGGCCCTGCTTTGGCCCCCCTGCTTTGGCCTACCGTGCCAGTCAGTTTTTTGGCACATTCCAAGATCGCATACGCAAATACCCAATTCTCAGGCGAGCACATTTTCTGGGAAAGGTGGGAGGCACAGAGAAGGGGCCGAGAGGAGAGGAAGGTCCTTGTTTCCAGTCTTGCCAAGAATAACCAAGTGGGGAGTTTGCACCGAGTAAAGATGCCCAAATGAAGCCCTCCTACTTCACCCTGTGGGTTTCTTGTGCATGTGCATCAGCCGCCTCTGTTACTAAGCACGCTACCCTAAATGTACGAAGCGTCACTGATACCAGTGCATACCGATAAGTGCTCCTTAGTCTCCCCCAAATGCAGAGATGCTACCCAGTTAAATGATTATTTCAGCCCGATCTTATGCAAAACTCGGCTCCCCATCCCACTGAAATCAACACACCAACGTGCCTCCCTCAGCTTAGGTATTTACACCTCTTTACTCAGAAGTTAATTCCCTTTGCGTTTAACCAGACTTACTCCCTTGTAGGAGGTGTGTAAGGGATCGCATTCTAAATCAATTCATTGCCTGCATAATATTAATTCAGTTGGAGTATATTTACATATAACCAAAACGAGAATAAAAATAAAGTGTAAATTAACACACACAGCTTTTCCTTGAGATACGCAAAAGTGAAAAGCCACTTTTAATGATGTAAGGCAAACCTAGGCATGATTGCTATGCGATGCTGTGCTCTGCTATCAGGGTCTTCTCCAGACATGATTACGCAGCCCAAAGCCTCATTTAGTTCAATGAGATTACTCCCAGGTAAAGATGAGCAGCCTACAGCTTCAACCCCAGATAAGATTACTGGGTATAAGAAAATTCTCATTAAATTCAGTAGAACTTACTTCTGGGATTGCCATCTGAGAATCTTATTACCTAGCACACCAGAACAAAAAGACTTTATATAAAGGAAATCAATGGTAGGAATAACTTGCCAGTAGTTCTCAGGTTGTCTGATCAAAATCTGACTTGGCCAATTAAAATTGTCCACAGATTAATCAACCAGAATTCTAGCTGATTAATCTACTAAACTTCAGTTTCATGCTGACTAGATGCTTTGTCAAATGAAAATTAATTCTTTCCCTAGAGTATGCGTGCATGTGCAAACTGTGAACACAAGCCTATCTGTGAAGGCTTCATTACTCTGAAGAAATGGGATCCGAGGAGTTTAAGTCTATGTCTAAGAAAGGGTGCACAGAATTGCATTTGATGCTCAGATGCAAATCTCTCTCTCTCTCTCTCACGCGCGTGCACACACACACCCCAGCAGCGTTTCATGTTTTGTTTAATGTCTGTTTGCCCTGCTTGGAAATATGTAGACAAGGTGCAGGGCTGCTTATGAATTGCCGAACTATTTACCAAGGCTGAACACAAGGAAACATGCAAAGGAAAGGATGAAATGTACAGAACTCCGTGTGTAAAGTAAGACTTTTCATGGCATGGATGTCCAGAAAAGGGATGTCCAGAGAGTGAGAGATGAAAGGAAGCCACAATTCTGCTCTTTAGAAGGGAAGGCCTTACAAAACAAAACAAAAAACAAAACAAAACAAAACAAAACATGTTTGAATGTATCTAAGGGAATCCTTCCCTCCAGGCATTTCGGGCGTGGATTGGTGTGTCACTATCTACCACTATATTAAAATAGCAATAATAATAATTTAAAATCCTGCAATGCATTCTATTTTAGAGGGGCAGGAGCTGCTTGAATGTATGTCTCCAGCCAAACAGTTGAAATCAGGCAGGAGGCCAGTGGGACTGTTCACTGGCGAAGGAGCCAGAGAAGGAAAGAAACGCCTTTTATTTTTCCCAACCATGCCAAGAAGATGTGTTTTTGTCATAATGAAGACGGCGGCAGGGGGAGGGGAGAGGATCGGTTTCTCCAGCCACTGGAGAACAGATGGTGGGGCATTGTAAGAAAGAATAAACCTGGAAGTTCAAGGCAGAAAAAGACCAAGGGGTAGAAGGCCTTGAAATACAGGGGAAAAGGCAAATGCTTGTGTAGGTTTTTATTCTGAAAGTCCTTTTTTGTTTTCTTTCTGCACCATTAAGACATTAAAGATGCTTCGGGCTACAATGCGACACACTTGCATGGGGAAGCCTTATTTAACTCCGTGGATACACTTCGCAGCAGTTGAGCACAGGACGAGGCTGTTATTCTGTATTTACAAGTGTCTCTTGGTCACGTGAGAAGCATGCAAACATCCCAAAGGAGGTCCTCAGGATTTCATAAACCCACCTTAAAGTCCCCTGGATTTTTAAACACCCTCTTCTAGAATGCAAATCAGCATAATGAGAGTGGCCTATTTTGTGCATGTCAAACCACCTTGAGGTTTTGACCGTAGCCAGCAATGCGTGTCTGCTCAGAAGTGCCATGGGATCTATTCCAGCTCAATACAAAGAGGAATGCAGCGCCAGGTAGTGGGGACAGATCCTGCAATGTCCTTTCTCTCAGGATGAAGTCATGGGAAATACACCAGAAGAAAATTCCATTTCATTTAGCAACCGGGTCTGCTATAATTAGGCAATGCCAGTCCATCCAAACGACACCCCTGACACCCCCTTTCAAAATATAAATAATGGGGGTGCCTTTTGATGGTGACTCCTGGGAGGAAGGCCTTCATTTGAGTCAGTACCAAATACGTACTTTCATCAGTTTAGATTTTGGGCTACATTGCCTGGGGGCGGGGGTTGCTGGGGGCTTGGCTTGATCTCCCTTCTTCCAAAACGTGGCCTGCCATCCCTGCTGCTTTTTGCGGGGGGGGGGGGGACGCTCCCGTTCATTCGGCCAAGCCGTACCATAACAAAAACCACCCATAAAACTTGCCCCACCGAAACAACCACTCACACAAATATCATCTCTGCTCAGAATCCATTGCTCATCCCTGCAGACATGACTACCAATTTATTAAGAGTGCAACCCTGTTTAATGTTCTGAGAGCGGAAAAATACGGTACAACTCCCAGCAAAGAAGGGGCTGTAAGATAATTTTTTTGTGTACCTAAACGTGTCCAGAACTGCACCCTAATTCTTTATTTCCCGCGGTTAGTTCCCCCTGATTTTTCTCTTTCCCCAGGTTTGGGCTGATAAGTGGAGAATTAACATAAATGGTTAGGTTTCCTTGCCTTCACCTTGGACACCTCCGCCCGGCCCCGCCCCAGCCCGCGCCCAAAGAGGGCTTACCTGTTGCGTGAAGGCAGCCTGGGGCGAGGAGGGCTGCTTGCTGCTGGCTCCCCCCAGCTGCCCCTCGGCCTTGCCTTCGCTCGCCAGTTCCTTGCTGTCGGGATCTACCGGCGTGGCTGGGAGCCCGAAGCCTTCTTCAGAATCTGCCATGTTCCAGGCCGCGGACCCCCCTGCTGCCTGGACAATGCAAGAGAAATGCAGGTGGGGGTAGGCCATGGGGCGCACTTGACCATGTAATGCATGCACAATCCCACACTGCAGGCGCCCCCCACCCCCCCCGGCCCGGCGCACCCCCCCCCCCCTCCCTTTTCCCCCCCCCCCCCCCGAAGCCTGGAGACGCTCGGAGAAGCTCACTCGTGCGGACACACGTCCGCAGGGCCGGATCAGGAGGAGACGGTGGGTCTCCATCAAGGCCTTACCGTGGGACACAACGAGCCGTGCCCCCCGCCCCACACTCCCAGCCACCGACCCTCCCTCTCCCCCACTTCGACCGAGTCACAGCTCTGAAGAACGCCGGCTGGACTGGGCCGAGGAGACCCGCTCACTTCCTTCGCCCTCTCCCGGCCTTTCTACCCTCCGCTGCTGCCGAAGAGCAGCGAGGCTTACTTTTAAGGAGGCTTATCTAAGATGGCACAGGGCGCCACAGACGCTGAAAAGTACAGTAATGTCTTTGCACGGCCAAGTCTCCCAGACACCAAAGTTCTCCGCATACCATTTTAATGGCGTACATTAAAAATGCTAAAATGCTTCCTCCTATTACTCCTGCACTACTACAAATAATGAAAATAATGTATATCAATGTGCATATACACATTATATGTATAATGTAATGTAATTCCTCATGTCTCCTAGCATGTGCATAAAAAGACCAAAGATGTTTTCATAAGGGACCGTCAATGCAGCTCCCTTATAGCTTTCTAGACCAACCAACCAACCAGAGGGCAGGCTGGTATCTTTGAAAATTTACTGGGGAGTAAATCTCGTTAGTCAGGCTGGTTTACTTCTGCGTTCACGTGCACAGGATCAGGCCTTTTCCACTGCGCTGAAGTCAGTGGGGTTTAAGGAAAATCATCATGTGTAGGATTGCAACCCAATCGTGTCACTCGTTTAGTTGGGTGACTTCTATATAGTCCTACGGAAAAGAAAGTCGCATAGTTTTCAAAGGGATTTTGTCCCGGATAATTGTACACGGGCTGGTAATTTAAGGCTCTCTCACTCTCTGTTATGTACATACACCCCAGGCTGTGTGTATGTACATAAATTTAAATGGATGTGTAAAATGCACACGATACCTTACACATGCACTGAAACATACAGCAAATATGGACATACACATGCAGAGAAATATTCATAAAATGCACACGCATGTGATATACTCAACATCAACACAGCAAGCAACTAAGATAATCATCCCCTAGCGCACCAACAACTGACCTCTGTTAGAAAGAACTTGTCACAACTATCTATTCTAGCGAAAACCCCCAGAAAGACTAAAGTTCCTTTCTCAGCCTTTCCACTGGAAGCAAGTTCCTAAACCAAGCCTGCTCTTTGAGTCCTTCATTGCTCCATCCCAAATGCCAAAGCCTTACCTTAAGCTGAAGGTACTTTATTTTTTAAGAAACCCCCCACAAATCCTATTTTTAAAAATAAATGGCATATTTTAAAAACAACCAAATGCTGCAGTCACATGTTCTGAAAAATGTCCCCAGTGTGGCAGAAAAATTATTTTCTTTAATAAACACAAGGCCACAAGAGAATAAAAAATCCACAAATAAAAGAATTGTTTGCTTTGTAACAAACCACCATAGCAAATGGCCTGAGAGTGATGGTGATATTAATCCAACAATAATAACAACCCTTGATTTGAATTTTGGATTCATAATAAATTGGGCTGCCAATGACTTTTGGCTTGAGAAAAAAAAACTTTTAAAAAAGCCTCTCCTAACAATCAAATATGAAATAATGGAAGAAAATCTGGCAGGCCCAGCCCCCCCCCCCAAAAAAAACCCTTACCCAAAAGCAAGCTTCCCTGAATTCAAGGGAACTTACTGCTTTGAGTTTACTTCAAAGTAAGCCTACATGAAGCAAAAGTTTAAACTTGCAAACTGATGCACGGATCTGTAGAAAGAACAAATTCAATGGAATTTTCTCCTGGGAAGCGTATAAGGTTGCCAAAAGTCTGCAGTCTTGACATGGGGAATAAACTCCATTCAAATCAATACAACCTATTTTCTGAGATCAGAAGTTGATTCTTAAAACCCGGTAACTTGAGGGAATTTGTCATTAAAAACTTTCAGATGCTTCTCCAGAAATTTCCCAGTGAAACAGAGACCGACCGGTTCATTTCTAAAGACAGACAATTCATGGAAATTTTTCATTGAAATAGTTGGGAAACATTTCGCGGCACTTGAAGCTGTAAGCAATAAGCTGTGACTGCCGTCCAAAAACTCTCTCCTACTGTACTTTTGGTTAAATTAGGAGAGCAAGCAGGATCAAACGGATGGGTAGAATAAATTTCCAGAATGTCATACCGTTGATCAAATATTTCGAACAATTCAACTGAGTTCAGCACTATCCACAAAGATAATGGAGGACTCAAATTAATTTTAATATCAAGGTTAATATTAAGAAGGTTATTAATATTATCATTAGTAGTATTCTTATCTTAGATCCGGGACCCTTCGGCTACTTTTGGCTGACATTAATGGAATTCCTTTCATAATACACTTTGGGAAAGAGAGGACTTGGCACCAAGGTAAAATAGAAGCGTCTTGAAATCCACCACGCCTCGAGAAGCACCCAGTCCCCTACAAGTCGAAGTCGATGCGATTTACTCGCGAGGAAACGTGGTTGCGAAATCCGGGCTGCAGAGGTTATTTCAAAGAGATGCTGCTGCTGCAGCTCCCCGCCCCCCCCCAGCAACTCAATCGGTGCCCCCCCATTCTCGGATATGTCGGTGCTTTCGAAGGCTCGTTAGCGGGAGGGGGCAGAAGGAGCTGCTGCTCTGGGGGAGGGGGCAGGGGCGGGAGGGGAAGGCTCCGTAGCCATTCCTCGGCAGGGGGCGAAGGGCCCCTCCCGCAGCCGAGAGCCCGCGTCTCCTCCAGGCCGTTTCAAAAGCTCCCCTTCGCTCGTCTTTCCTCCAACGCACAGCCCCCCCCCACCCCGGGAGGGTGCCCACTGGCGCCGAGGAAGCGAGGCGAGGCGAGGCGAGGCGGATCGCGAGCGGCAGCACCGAGGCGAGGCAGCGTTCGCCGCGCTCTTTTCGCCGCCCGCCTCGCGCTCGCCGTGACGCACAAGCCATGCAGGGAAGGAAGAGGGGGCGCGCATGCAAGAGCGGCAGATGAGCTGTGTGCGGGGGGGCTGGGGGGAGACCGCGAAGGGGCCCCCTGCTTTCCTTCTCCCTCCTCCGAGAGCTCTGGAGAGGCGATCCGCCTTGACAGAACCAGGCCGCGCGGCCGAGCCTGGATGGAAGACGCGGCCGGCCAGCGCGGCGCACAGGAACCGCGGCACGGCGCCGCCGGGCGCTGCGGGGAAGGCGGGGAGGCAAAGGGGGCCTGGGGCTGGCGTGTGGCCGGGAGCGCGCACAGCCCGAGGGGCGGGCGGGATCGCTCCCCGGAAAGCCGAGGTCGGCGGCCCCCGTGGCCTCTCTCTTCCGGACTTGAAAGCACGACGCGAGGCGGCGAGCGGATTGCCGGGGCCTTGTTCGCCAGACAAGTGGACTCCATCTCCGTTGTCTCCCTCACTCTTTCACACGCACACGCGTTGCGACTCCCCTTCCCATCAGCCCCGGGGTCGCCGCGGACTGCGCTCGGGGGCGCGCGCTCGGCGGAGGAGCTCCCTTTACCTTCTCCGTGCCTCGCTCCGGGGGGCTCTCACCGCATCCCCGTCGCCTCCGCGCTCACGGCGCCAGCCGCGGCGCGGTCGCGGCACCACCAGCCGCACGGGCAGCCATCTCCGCGCCTCGTTCTTGCTCGGCGGTGCCCAGACCGAGGCGCGTTCGTCAGGACGGCATCAAGGAAGTGTCAGAACGATGGGGACGCCCTCCCCGCGGGCCTGTCCTCTCCAAAAACTGCCCGGCTGCTCGCCCCTCTCCTCTCTCTCTCGCGCGCGGACTCAAGCCCCTCCAGTGCAGTTTTTGCTGAACATGCCAAGGCGAGGAAGCCCTCCGCCAGCCCCCCTCCGTCAAATGAGAGGGGCTTTGCGCGTCCGTCCGCCCCTTTTCCCGGACCGTACGAATCCCGAAGTCGCACGGGAACAAATCCGCAGCCGCAGCAGGAGAGGCAAAAGTTTGCGGGGCGGGCGAGGGAGGGGAGCGAGAGTCCCGCCGCCAGCCGCAGCAGGTTCGCTTGCTCGGCTCGGGCGGAGAGAGACTGAGCGAGCCAGAGCGCCCAGCCGAGGCGGGCAAAGCGGCTCGTCTCCAGGCGAGTGCGCTGATGCGAAGGCAGCTTAGCGGCTCGGCTCGGCTCGGCTGACCAACCAGCTGCGATGGTGCAACTGGAGGCTGTCGCTCGCTCGCTCGCTCCCCCTTCATCAAACCTCTCCTTCTCCAGCCTATTTTTCTTGAAGGCAAGCGAGGCACAAAGGCAGGATCGGCTCTCCCCCTCCCCTCTTTTCGTCCTCCCTCCTTTTCCTCGTCCCTCCCCTCCTATTCCCTCTCCTATCCATCTTTCCCCACCAGAAAGAAAAAAGTCAAAGCCTTCGAAATCTTCCCTTTCTCCCTCCCCTCCCGGCGCACTCTGGCAAGATCTTCGCTGTCTCTCCTTCCCGCTCCCCCCCCCCTTTTTTTTAATAGTTCGCTGTCCTAACACAAACCATACACCCAGGGCTTCCCGTCTCCAAGGCCCCCCGCCCTCGCTAACCCCACCCTTGCGGTGCTAGCACGCATCACGTCTCAGGGAACAAAAAAGGACCAGAGAGGGGGTGCGTTGTTGGGGTGGGGGGATTGCACCGCATCGCGGCGTTGTCCACTCTTCGGCTGGGGCTACGGAGAGCGAGAGAGGGGGCCGCGGGCCCACTTTCCTGCCTTTGGAGGCGACGGCGGATTTTCCCACAAAGTTTCTTTTCCAAGAAGAGGAATACGAATAATATTAATAATAACAGATCTCCCTCGCCCGCCCCCGCCACAACACACACGGGCCCTTTCTGCCGCCCTCTTATATATATAAACAGATGGAATAGGATGAATGCGCGCGCGCGCACACACACATTTATAAACACACGGTCCGAGGACAGGCTATACTCAAAATAATCAAGCCGTCAAGGCGCACCGACGATCTCAGTGTGTGTATTTTTCTAAAACCGGCTTTGGGTTCTCTGCCTCGAACTTTCCCTTTCCTCCTTCTCCTCCTTCTCCCCCCACCCCCGAACGTATTATTTCGAGGGTAAAGTTGAATAGGTCAAAGCAGGATAAACAACCCTTCTGTTGGTCCTGGAATCCGGAGGGAGCGGGGTTGGCGATGATCGCTTTTCTGTTTTTATTAGGAGGGGTTGCAATAAAGGAGGTGCCCCCCCCCCAAAGCTCTCGCGGGTTCTCGGTCCACCTTCTGCTTCTTTGTTTTGTTCTGAAAATGAACGTGAAGATAGCCGACCCCGCGATCCAGTCCAGCCCTACCGAGGAAGCCCAGGTGGTGCGGGGCGCGCAGGATCGCAGCCCCACCGTGCAGTCTGACGGAGCCCTGCCCAGCGAGAACCCTCTCCGGAAGGGAGCCCAGGTAGCTACGCCGGAAAAACCGGCGAGGTGTCTTGGAGCACCTAGAGACACCCACACCCATCTCCGTGGACCGGAGCCTGCTTCATCAGACGATAGATACAACTGGCCAGATCCACCCCAGGAGGTGATCCCACAGCACCGCTCCGAGCGCCACAAGCAGCTTTCCTGTGTTGAAACCAGGAGTGAGCCCGATTGAGTTCCATGGGATTCCTCCCAGGTAAGCATGTATATGATCCTGCTGCCCTGGGAAGCGAGTGGGTCCCCACTTGGGAGTAAACCCCCTTCAACTTCTTCTACTTCCGAGGAGACATTCCCCCAGGCGTGTGCTCTTCTCTTTATGCTCACACTCCAAATGCTTGCCAGTTCAACTGGTAAGGCTGTGGCGGACAGAAGGGGAGCAGAACCTCGTGGGAGACAGGCAGGCAATTCGCAATGGATCCGCAAAGGACTTCTGACTCCCAGCTTTTTATCAATCACAGCAATGCAATGACCTCCCTCACCCCAAATTAAATCAAGGACATGAAAAGAAAAGCTAGGCAGAATTTTCTTGCGCAGAAGTATGAGCTTTGTTCAGTTTGGGTATTCTAAAAGCCCTGGTTGATACTGTACACATGCGCTTTCTCTTTTGCAGCAGACTTTGATAAGTTGAATTGGGAGCTCTATCCCCAATTAAAATCCAAAATAGAAAATAAACAAAAATAATTCATCCACGATGAGCCTGGCAAGTCTGATGGCTCCTGAAGGGAGACACAAACTATGCTCGGAGAGCTTTTCAACTTGAGAAGGAAACCGGTCAAGTAAGAGCTCCCAGGCACGGATCTCTGCCGAGGGTCGATTGTTTGCACCCTTCTGCACTGATATGAGAAAACACAATGGCTTACACATACACACACACACACACACACACACTCCCCCCAGTTTATGCACCTTTTGCAGGGTTAGCACGCAATGCAATTCTCGTGCGCCATGTATCCCTACCTTATAGGCCACTCCCCTATTCCTCATATAGCTCAGAAGCTGGATCCACTCGTACAGCAGACGTGAATTTCTATATCTATATCCATACAATAATTGTGAATCTCTTTCTTTCCCCGACTCTGCACATAAATATTCCGTGCATCTGTCTATCTGCAGACACATGAACGCAACACGAATGGCTCGCTTCTTAGGCACAAAATGCACTCTCACGTCCATATAGGCTCTGTTTCAAGCCTAACAGCACACCCCTGTGCTCATTTACTCACAAGTAAGTCCCACTGTGGTCAGTGGGGCTTACCCCCAAGTATGTACAAGAGTGTGGAAAATTCCTGGAGCTTCATTCTGTCTTTGAAAGGCGAAAATCAACTACAGCACGAGAAAGAGGGCACTGGAAGCCATTCCATGAAATCCAGAAATGAACATAATAGCAATAGTAATAGTAATAATGTTAGAAACCAACCCAAAAATTTGACCTAATTAACCCGGAGTGACTGGGTTCGTGCATCTGAACTCAGCAGCATGATGCATTAACCACTCTGGCCAAGTTCAAACAACACGTGTTGTTGTGTTGTACGAACCTGGCTATTGCGCTCGAGGTATAGTCAGCCAGGTGGGCTACATTTTAGGCATGTACTGCTGAAATGCAACATTTCCCACCTGGCCGCCACAAAGGCAAACAGTCATGCGCCCAAAGGAGAGCTGACAGAGAAACAAAACCGGGTCCCTTCCTCTTTTTGCCTCGGCGAACACCAAGCAGACTCTGGCTAAGCAACGAGCAGGAAGTTTCTCCTTTGCCTTTCTGTTTCACTGCATTGTTCCTGCACCTTTTTTTTTTTTTCCAGCTTCTTCTGCCTTGGATTCTTATTCCTATTCTCATTTTGGAAAGTTCCTCAGTGCCTTTACGACTTTCCCTGTTTCCCCCTAACTTTGCCCAAAGTCTACAAGCTGTGAAGACACACATAATTGTGCCACCGAAAACGGATACTTGTATATCTGAATAAAAGTGTGTGCACATAGGTGAAGATTACTCTGGGGTCAATCACTGTCCCCCAGCTGGCGAGAAATAAAGTTGTGCCCCCTCCCCTCTTCTGTACTTACACGTACACACAGGTAATACACATACACAGTGTGTTTAAAATGCTCAAAGTTGGGGTTTGCTTAGGAGATTTGAAATTTCACAGAAGTTCTTCAACCAACCCCACCCACTCCCCTTCCCTGG